TAAAAAGGTTTAACTGCTTGAAGCCTGACTTGAACAGGAGCAACATGCCAAACCAAAAGGTCAAAGGTCGGTTTGCTCTGGGCAACCGATTCGTGACCCGGTTTTCTGGGGCACTGTCATTCTTGCGTGCCTCGATGTCATCGCTCGATAGCGCAAAGGCCTCCGCAGCTTGCCTTGGGTCCCCAGGCACTGAATCGAACTCGCACCTATTTGGATTGGAGGACCACCAAGCATTTTGTAGGGCCCTTGACAAGCAAGTTCCTACGCCTTGTCTTTGGGGGGGGGGGGCAAGACAACTGCAATTCTCCTGCCCAAAAAGTCCATGGTGCTTACTGAGCAAGCACTTCTTGAGCATTGGACAAGTTCTGCGACGGTACTAGACAGGTCAGAAAAGGATACTAAATCGCTGCTGCAAGGAGTATGAACAGCTGGTGCCTTGATTGTGCCCTCCGCGCCTTGAGGCGGAAGCGAGAAAAGAGAGGCCAAAGGAAGGCAAAAAGTCATAATACAAGAAACTTATTCCAGGTGTCAAAGTCCAAGTGTTAGCAGACAGCTGCTTGGGAAGGTGCGTTCGGGATGTTCCGAGTTTGCTGTGGGTCTGCCATGACCGTCAAGCATAGACACACAAAGGACACAACATGCAGAGTGCAGCGGTGGTCCAGGATCAAACCCGGCTATGATGAAACGTGACGGACCCTTCAATGAGGGTCCCCCATCCCAATAAGTGTGAGCAAATAGTGCCTCATAGGGTCTGGCAAGGACGAATTAACAAGTTCATGGCTCCTTTTTCCAAGATGTCACCATTGGGATCTCACCAATCAAAAAGTAATATCAAACCATATCAAATCTCTTTTGCCACCTTCGCCCCTTTCGACTTCCTTTACAAAACGGGTTTGGCCGCATGCCGCATCTCCAAGCCCAACTCGGCCCCAGGCCCATATGGCTCCATTGGTATTGGCAAAAAGTGCGGCAAGTTATGGGGTGTGTCACTCTATGGGTCTCGGAAGCCATGAGTTGCAGAACTCTTTCGGAGCTGGGGTGCTCAACCTCTTGATGCAGTTTCAGCGTGTCATGAGGGCTGAACGGCATCCAGCGTAACTCGCGTTTGCCAATTTGTGCGGGCTGAGTATCCTCAAGTGAAGGGTGGTACAACACCCATGTACTTCTCGCGAAACAAGGGGTTTCAAGAAAGGGCTCAGTCTGCTGCCTCGGCATGTGTCTGCTATTGATGTCTTTGCCTGGCCCCGCCACGCAGGGCTCTTTGCAGGAAGCTTGACAGGCCGGGCAGCCGTCGTCGCATGGGCAGCAACTTGCTGTCATCCAAGATGGTGTCCACTACCCCCAAACCCGCAGGGTGGAAATAGGGCGTAAGTACACATGTATATGTATAAGTATGTACATATGTATAATATATATATATATATTGTACACCCATTTTACTATATAGTCGCTGCATTGTGGTTCTACAGCCACTTGCCACTCATGTTTTAGGCGGACACCGTCTGATGATTGTGTTAAAGACAGGTGAGACATTCCATGGAATCATTCCTGAACTCAGTCAAGCCTTAGTCTTGACTACATGTGACAAAAACTCGCTCCCGAGAGTTTTAGTTTTCTTGATTCATGTGGTCAAGTTATGAAGCAGCCAGCCAAGTATGCCAAAACATGCAGCATCGTAACAACGACATCACCCGAGAACACAAACAAACGCATCCAGAGTGTCTATGTGTTCTTTCTATGGTTATATGTCTTTCGTATTTGCTAATGTTTATGTAGATGTGTGTATATGTATGCACATATACACATTCACACACACACACACATGCACACGCTTATCATCACTTCTCACGAGGGCGAGACAACTCACTGATGTGATACTACGAACAATGCATCGACTAAGAAAGCGTAACAAAGTCTATGTACTATTTTGGTGATGGACACTGACCTCTGATGGACCTCAAAGAACTGTTTTCCCTTTTCCAGGAGAAGCCCCGCCTGATTCCCCAGCTTGATTCCAGAGACCCTTGTTTATGTTGTTGGGGGCGGGGGGGTCCGGGCACGCATGTCATGTGCCGGCTCGACGGATGTTCCACAGAGGTCATCAATTCACCATGGCTCGAAGGCCCATATGCACTCGGTCACTAGAAAGCCCTATGAACCGCGTGTGTTGACCCATTTGCCTACCGAGAAATCTCTTGAGGAACATATTTTGGGTCCATGCCATCAGCGTTAGAAGGCAGGGAGTTGAGACGCCAAGGCAAAACCAAGCCGTGGACTTGTTGCTCCATGGTGTCCTTTTGGCTCCACTTGAAAACACTAACACCACAAAAGAAGCTACTCTCTGAAAACACGCAACCCCATATGGAGGGTGTGGAAAGACGATTAGAACCATCGCCCTCGCAGTTCGAAGCTACAAAGGTTCTTTGCCACTCACATTGGCAAGGGCAAGACTTGGGCCCAAAAGGCCACTGAACTGGCTATTCCTACCCCGAGGCTTTGGTCTTTACAACAGACTACCTCCCACAAGCTCCTTTCCAAGGGAGTAAACTTGCGGCTCTCGCCCCTGCATAAAGCTGCTCTTGGCTTGTGGTCTTGGGCAGTACTTATGCTTTAGGCGAGACTCAGTTCAATCTGTCAAGAACATACGATGGGACGATACTGGGTAACTTGGGATTCACAGTTGCTCCATCAATTCGTCACATGCCAACCGCCAACCGCGCGCCTGCCGAAGACGGACCGGGGAACACATTCTGCCGTGCGAGCCCCGTAGCTGCACCTCTGTGCCTGCGTAGGGTCAAAGGTTCAATGCTGGACGGAATGACATGTTGACGTTTTTTTGTTGGGCGCTTGGGACCCCAGTCATGTTTTTTCATTAGTGCCCGAGGACGCCAAAGAAAAGCCAACCCTACCCACACATATATATAATATTATATGTACGTAGAAATGTCTCATGCTTACATGGCGGTCGGGGCTTGGAGGCTGTAGAATTCATCTAACCGGCTGGCACTTGGAAACCTCCCAAATCACTTTGCACGTCCCCCCCCGAAACGTGGAACCAGTCAGCCTGGAAGTCTGGGAGGGACAGTACTTACTTTTGTACTGCCTGTTCTACTTTAGTATTGCCACAAATTCCCATCCACTTTAGTATTGCCAAGGATCTCTTAGAACCTAGTACTTACTTTGGTATTACCAATTCTACTTTAGTATTGCCAAGGCTGACTCTCAGATTCGCAGTACTTACTTTAGTATTGCCAGTTCTACTTTAGTATCGCCAAGGACCGCTTTTCAGCAACAGCCAAAAGGGTTAGAGACTAAAGAGGACCCCAAAACAGTCACATTAAAGAGGATCAGGGCCCCTTGCGGGCAACCCCCTTTGTGCGAAATGTTTGCCCCTTAATGGTTTGCAAAGAAGTTATCTTAAACTTGATGGTTTAGGGGCCACTGACAAAATGGACTTCCTAGATCCAAGGCCTTTACCATTTAAGCTGGGAAGAGCTTGGTTAGGTGAACCACCCTCAAAGTAAAAGGCTAAGGCCTTAGTTTAATAATTTCAGCAACTCAATAAACTGTTGGACACTTTGTAAAGAGGATCCCAGAACAGTCACATTAAGGAGGATCAGGGCTCCTTGTGGGCTACCCCATTTGTGTGGCTGTTTGCCCCTACTTTTCTGTAAGGAGGTTATCTTAAATTTGATGATTTGGAGACCACTTCAAGAAAATGAATTCCTAATGTTTGCCCGGGCTTGTTTGTCGGTTGTTTTGTCTGCTTTGCCCATATTCTTCCAGCGTTGTTTTTTTTGTTGTCCGGCAAACAAACTTCCCACAATAGAGGACCCCCAAAACAGTCACAGGATCCTGAATTAGAAATAATATTTTCTACAATAGAGGGTACTATTCCAATTGAGGGTCTAACATTAGTTGTGTCCAATCAGCCTCCTACAACCACCAGGTCCTTTTTAGAGGGAAACGGTACTACAAACAGCTATCAGGCTCCATGTAGCAATGTTAGCTAGCTCCTGTTAGGCTAAATGGCAGTTGAGTGAAATTCCACCTTTGCGAACACCAAAGTAACTTTCGCGACTCCTATTGCGGAGATTTTGCGGACTAGTTCACAACACTTTCCCCAACAAAAACAATAGCATTCGCGAGGTCCATCGCGGGGCTTTCGGGCAACGCACAAGACCAAATGGCTTCCCCTTCATACCTCAAAACAGGCATCTTTCGGACGATTCCCACATGCTAAAATGTGTATTTGCTCCATGTCATTCAGGTTGAGATCACTCAAAGGTCGAGCCCAGGATGTGCTCCAGGTACTTCAGAACTTCGTCTGGGCCACGGCTTCTGCATATGATCCTTCACAATACGCCCAAAACGAGCCTGAGGGAAAACATGGCTTCTTTTGGGGGCTGGTGTCCTGATTTTCAAAGCCATGACGTAGCCATGACGTAGCCTGTAGTTCATGCAAGTCCCCTGTCTTGGCGCAACACCCCCGCGTAGGTTTCCCTTCACACGGACTTTTACGGTTGCTTAAACAAATACTTTCTTCGTTCGTTTGGTGCCTTGGAACAGCTGTTGAGCTAGGCCAGCCTTTATCTAGGTGTTCTCCGCAAGCTTACGGATCTGCATTCTTGCACAGCGCTTGCAATTTGTTGTTTTCTTCGCCGACATCCTCCCAATTATTTCACTGATGCGTCAACGTTCAACCAAAAACCGCTAACTAGGATTAAACACGTATTTCTTACTTCCTTTTGTGTGGGGATTGACCCAGTGCACTCTCTTTTGTCTTTCTCTTTGCTCCAGTGGCTCTTTGACCTCGCACGGGGGACTTCGCAGCATCTTTGGCTGGCTCCCCGCTCATCCTAACGTCCGGGCGTGACCGTTACGCAACTGGATGCTTATTTGTGATTTTTCGGAACGCTGTAAGACACCCACTGCCCCTGGCTTATGCCACTCTCGGCTGTAGAACGGCCATGCCCCGGTGGCAGGCGCCACTCAAAGCATCACAAGGATGCTCGGGGCCTCACGTAGAAAGAGGTAACCATTTTCCACCGCATGCCGGTTTTCCTATGCCAAAGTTGTGATTGGACCCCTTTTTGGCTTTTTGTTGATGGTGACAAAGCGCGGCTATATCTTTGGAGGTTGGACCTTTGTGGGTCTGGCATGGGAACTCTCCATCTACCAGGTTCAAAGCTGATGACCATGGTGGGGAGTCTCCAGGGGGAGGGCTGAAAAGCCAAGGATGAGCACATTACGACTTGATTTGCGAGGTAAGTAGGCCATCTCTACACTCAGGAACACAGCTCCCCTTATTCCCGGGCACCTAACTCGAGCACCACACACAGCTCAACACACAGCGCTGTTCTTGTCCACAACTACGCATGTTGCAAGCAAACCACCACCCCAATCGTTAAGCACTTCGTCTATCCGCGTGGTGTAACTATTTGCCGTTTGCCGTTCCAAGTGTCGGCACCGCTGAAAACACCATTGGTCCTGTGTTGAACTTTGCTTTCCTTCAAGCAACACTCAAGCCTGGAACTTGTTGTTTTAGTGCGCCCACCCTCCTTGGTTTAAACTCCCTTTGTGGATGAGACCAGCAAACATTTACATTTATGTACTGTGCCAGCAGCATGACATTACCAATTCTAATAAGTATGAAGTAAAGAAAGTGGGGAGGAAGGATGAAGGCTGGAAAACTGGGAAAGTCAGAGCGGTTATTGGATGTCCCCTTCAAACACTTGCCATGTACTTGCAAATTCCATTGAAACTGCCGCTTGTGGAGATTCAAACAAAGTGGAAATCAAGAGACCTCTGAGTGAGCATTTTCTGCTTGGGTGAAAGAACATGGAGCCCTATATACCCTTGTCTCTGGGACTCTGACAGCTGTGCACCCGGAGCGAGGGATGACTGGACTTGCCTACAGCGAGGTGCGAGCCATTGAGCAGTGCCCTGACCCACTCCTTTACTCCTGTTTCAGCCAGGAAAAGCTTGCTCAAGGCGGCCGCCTTTGGGGCTTTGGCGCAGTTGGGCTGTTGGACGACAAGTCCGAAAGCGCGCGAGTTGCCAGTTCGATGTCGGACCTCATAGGTTCAAATCCCGAGGAAAACAACTTGGATGAACCAGCCGCACGATTGGGACAAAGTGTGTTGCTGGTGGTCCCTCTGCAGCCAGTGTCCAGAAATTGTTCGAATGGCCTTGCTCAGCCAAAAGGACAGCTATGCTGAGAATCACCTACGTCTGCAAGGCCAAACCAAAGCGTGGGTCGGCTACAGCCATGCCACCATGTGATGCTCAAAGTGACCTGTTGCCAAGCACACATGTCGTACGCAGAAGAAGTCAGAACAATGCAATGGACCCTGTTCCACGTTTGCGCGAAAGAGCTTCAAAGGGCGACGTGTCCAAACTAGGCATCAGTTTTGCGGCGGTGCAAAAGGACACCCACAACATCATCCACCGAGTGAATTGACCCAAGGCCAAAGCAGCCCGACATTATTGGTGCCTACAAACATGGTTTCCCAAAAAGGATCAAGTCCAGCGCCTCTTCGTGCGTGTGCGTGTGCGTCTGAGGACTATGGCCCAAGTAGGATGTGACCACGGAAAATTCTGGGGTAGTGAGGAAACCAGCCAATTGAACAGATCCGCAGTTGGAAGCAACTCACACTCACACACACACAAGTTCAAAGCTAAGTGAGTCACAATCAAAACCTAGGGTTAAACGCGACTACCAAGGGGGTGGCCGCGCCAACCGTTTGCGACCAACCTTCCGGTTTGGGACAAGCTAGTGGACTTTTCAGCTTGGGCCGCTTCCCTTTCATTCGTGGGCCTCCACAGGTATAAGCCGTGCTTCCTGCTCAAGGCTGGCAATTTCCCACTGACGCTTATCTGTCCCCCATATGGGTGTGTGTGGTTGTAGAAGGGGCCCCATTTGGGGATTGTTGTATACCCAGGTGCACTGACCTGCAACTGCCAGGCCGCCGGACTGGCGGAAATGGTTCCAAGCCTCAAGGTCATTTGGCATCCCAAGGTTTCGCAAAATGGGAAGAGTTTGCAGGAACAAGGGTTGTCCTTTTGAGCACCTCGCGGTTTGCCAAAATGACCCCGAAATTGATTCATAAGTAGAACAACGCCACCATCACCACCACCAACGCCTACGACGACAGGGACAACAAAACCAACACCAACAGCAGCATCATCACCAAGACGAACACAAACACGGACACGGACACCCACACTGACACCCACCCCCACACCACCCCCACCCACCACCACTACCACCGCCATCACCACAACCACCGCCGCCGCCACCACCACCACCACCTCCACCAGCACCACCACCCACAACAACGACGACGACCACCACCACAACCACAACAAAAAGAATAGCAACACTAACAACAATCAATTAAAAGCAAACAACACACAACACACAACACAAAGCATACAACAGACAACAAAAGCAATCAACACACAAAAACACAACACACACACGCACCAAACCACAAA